GATAGATAGATAGATAGATAGATAGATAGATAGATAGATAGATAGATAGACAGACAGCAGACAGGTAAGTAGATAGATAGATAGATAGATAGATAGATAGATAGATAGATAGATGGATGGATGATTGGAAGCATAGATATATAGATGCATAAATATACAGAACCCACTAAGTAAATTTAGTAATCTATATATCAGGGGGCTTGTCTCTAAAGAAGACTAATTTTTCATTGTTTTAGAAATCATTAATTACTTGTAGCTTATCATCTAGGGGTGGGGTCTTGTAAAATTGGTATACTAACTGGCGTTGTCGTTGTGTAGGTCTTTAGAAAATACTTTTTTGGGGGACTGAGTATGGTGGCACACACCTTACATCTCAACACTCAAGGTAGAGGCAGGCAGATCTCTATGCGTTCAAGGCTGCCAGTCTGGTCTACAAATCAAGTTCCAGGACAGCAGGGCTATTACACAGAGAAACCCTGTCTTGAAAAAAAAACACAAAAAATAAAGAAAAAAGAAAGAAAGAAAAGAAAATATTCATTTTCTATGCCAAAATTTACATTCTTTTCAAATATCAATGCAATTGTTTATATGATACTAATGTAAAGTTTAAGATGCTAAATTATTTGTGATAACCAGCAAGTTCTAGAGAAGGTGGTTAGAAGGCGAATTATTGTGAATATAGATAAAACCTATCAATAGTGAATAATATCCTGTAGGTGCCATCTACCCCAGAGGCCATGAGCAATAGAAACAAACTTTTCCATCTCTCAGTATTATTTGTATTTGTTTACTCGTTCTTCTGGCAGAACACAGTACCAAATTTTGTTAATTTCTATGCTCTAACTCAAAGGAAGGCAGCCTGGTTGGCTTATATGTTAGCATTAGTGAGAACCTTACTAAAATTGTTCTGTTTTTAAATGTTATTCAGAACCCAGAGAAATCTGCGACACAATCTATTTTAGGTACGCACTAATCCAACCAATGGATGAGATATGACCTAATTAACTGCATTATCTTTTCAATGAAGGAATTTGTTGAAATTGGCTTATGTGCTTGCCTAAAAATAAATAAAACTTTTTTTTTCTACTGAATTGAAAACTAAGGTGTCAAAAAATAAATCCAGAAGGGAACTACAGTTCCATTTCTTCAAAATTTGAAATACAATTACATTAAATGTTCTTAACTTTAAAATACTTATTCAGAATTGTAGCTAGCAAGATTAATAATCTACTCTTGTAAGAGAAAAGGCTGATTAAGTTACAATTTTCTTAGAAATTAAGCAGCTAGAAATAATCACCTATGCTTCAAGTTCTGTACTCTTTGGTTTTACTTTGAAGCAAAAAGTTCATGTTCCTTTAGAAATAAAAAATGCTTTCAAATAATTGAAGTCATTAAGTTTAGTCTTTAATCTTTTCCTTTACTGCTATTCTTTCTATTTAATAAATACATTCAAATTCATTTTCTTAATTATACTTATAATTACAAAAACATCCTAGAATGGGTTGGTTTTCCTTTAATAGTTCATTTAAAAGCTTTTCTTGTTCAAATGGGAAAACCAAGCAGGGAAAGTTTGTGATCTTTGTGATATCAGGTGATTCTGTTAAGGATTGTAATAAAGGAAACAGAATTCTAGGATCACTCCAAATATTGTCACCACAAGGCAAGGCACAAGAGGGGTCAAGACAAGCACTAAAATAACCAGCTCTAAAACAGAAGCATAGATCAGCTAAAGCTAAGAAGTAATTAAAAATACAGACTGGATTATAATGGTATTTTAAAACTGACTTTGAGGGTTGGGTGGTGGTAGCACACACCTTTAATTCCAGCACTTGGGAAGCAGAGACAGGTGAATCTTTAAGAGTTAAAGGCCACCTTGGTCTACAGAGTGAGTTCCAGAAAAGCCAAGGGTACACAGAGAACTAAAAAATAAAATTGACTTTGAAAGGGACAAAGAGAAAAGGTAAAGACACTTGGTATATCCACTGCTATATAGACTCTTTCCATAGAAGCTTCAGAGAAATTACAACTATATGAATCCCTTAGGAAATACACTAGCATGTATAATAACCAGAATTTACGGAAAATTGAAATATAAATAAGCAAATAAATTGATTTTACTATGAACTAAGCATAAAGAAGTAAATAGCCATGATGTTCCCATAGTGTTTTACCTTCTCAAAATTACAAAAGAGTATAGAGGGAGAAAAAAAATACATACTATAGGCTTAATCACTATCTATTCTCAATTGTTTTGTGGGCAATCATTTCATCAGAACTTGGTCTTTAGCACTGAAAGATGTTTCAATGTTAAGAATTGATTGGATCACCTTTTTTCAAATAACAAATCATACAGTGTGGTTTTTTTCAAATCAATGGGGGAAGAATCATAGTTATTTTAATAAATTGTGTGGTGGATAACAGTAGGCTCCAAAGTCAAATTGCTTACGTTAAAATCCTTTACTAACTACGCATGACAATAATCAAAATTGGGCATCTTTCAGCTTTTACAGTAAAATGGGATTAACAATTGTTCTACCACATTTTGTCACATAAAATAAATTCATGTCCTGTAGTAAGTGCTCATAGTGTGGTGGTTTAAATAAAAATGTCCCCATATGTTCATATATTTGAGTGGTTAGTCATCAGGGAAGGGGTGACACTATTTGAGAAAGATTAGAACAATTAGGAGGTGTGGCCTTGTTGGAGTAGGTGTGGCTTTGTTGGAAGAAGTATGTCACTAGGAGTGGGTTTTGAGGATTCATATGCCCATGCCAGGGCCAGGTCTTTTTATTTCTCTGCCTACGGAGCAGGGTGCAGCTCTCAGCTACTGCTCCAACACCTGCCTGTGTGCTGACATGCTCCCAACCACGATGATAATGGACTGAATATCTGAAAATGTAAAGGAGCCCTCAATTACGCTTTCCATTGTAAGAGTTGACTGGTCATGGTGTCTCTTCACAGCAATAGAACAAACACTAAGACAGTAAGCATGTAATTAATTAGAATTTTTCATTAAATGAAATATTGGTGTATAGTTTTAAGAAATATTTTAAGAAATAGTAATATAATAAGGAATTCATTGATCAATAGTGTTCATTGAGTTCCTAAACCCAAAATGAAAGCATAAACCTTTAAGAGACAAATCATAAATTATAAAAACATCATTAGCAACATGTGCTAAATCAGTGTCCTTTTACAATGCAGACAGAAACATTCAAAACACTCTTTCCCATGGTGATGACCCTTCCCTTAATCCACCTGGATGACATCAAAGGCTTATAATACATGCACCTGTATTTAAGGATGTGTATGTTTGCATATGTCTTCTAGAATATATCTGTCTCATTGCTCTTTGTTCATCATACAGATTACACCCAATCCAACCCATAACATGGAAGAAGCCACAAGCCAAAGCATGGAGGAAGACTTTGAAGGACAGGCCACACACACAGGTAACTAAAGTGCAGAAAGCATAATTATTAAAGTATGATTAGTTCTAGAAATATCTGCTGTTCTTACAGAGAATATGATTGAATTTAAGTAATATCTTCATCTACTTGGGAAGAATAATCCAAAAACATTTGACTAAATAAATTGACTTAAAGTGAAATGATCCAAGATTAGTCATTTGCTAATTCAGTGTCAAAGAGTTAGAGAGAACACAAATTATTGATAATTTCCTGCTACCCAGTTATCTAAGACTCCTCTATTTACAGTTTAAGTAAAGCCCTTTGTATTCTGCCACTCCTCCTTGTGTAGCCACTATAGACTTTGCTTATTACATTATATGTGTGTGCATATATGCATATATACATGTGATCAAAAGTATGTAATGCTTGATTTTAGCTTTTCAAATGTTAAAAGAGAGTAAGAAGATAACAAGACTTGAATCAAGTAGATCTCAACCTACCTTCAGAAAACTCAGAATATCATTTCATCAAGAAACTTTTCTTAACTTGTTCAATTATATGTGGCTATTTATATACCACTACCAAGACCTTAGATGTTAAATACTATGACTTAAATTTTAAATTCCGAATCCTTTTGGCTCTACAGAGTCTCGTGTGACTACTAACTTTCATATCTATAAACATGTGTTGGAACCTTTAAATATGGTCATAGGTTTGAATGAATTCACACTAGTACCAGAATAAATATGTGGAAATTCATTTGATAATAGCTAAGAGTATTAAAGAAACAAATATTGAAAGACCCCAAATGTCAGGGTGTCTTGTCCCTCTGTCCAAGAACCAGTCCACTGGATGCAAGAGCAAGAGGCAGTTTATTGAATACACAGGCGTCTGCGGATGCTTCAGCAGCGTAGCTGACTGAGCATGCCGGGCTGAAGGCACATTATGTATTTATAGGGATTTAAGAGTTACATAAGAGGCTGCATAGTAACAAGCATTTCATTGGTTCTCAAATTGGCGGGCTTAGCTCACCCCAGGAATGGCCCCATGTCTTTTCTCGAATTTCCCCGAAAAACCACAAAGCTAGATAGAGAACCCTGCAGCAAGTTGACAGTTTCAATAGAAAGCCTTGGGAGTGGGGTACTCTCTCTCCTCAGCCTAGTCAGCGAGTCTGCAACCCATAGATATCCTGTTTTAGCATGGGCTGGGCCGGGGACGGGGGGGGGGGGGGGGCCCCGGGGAACTTTCCTTGTACAGCCCAGCTAAATTTCGCAGAATCATTAACTGAGCCTGGGGGCTTTCTTTCTATGACTCAGTTAAGTTTCAGCAGAGTTTAACATAGTATGTGGACAGGGGGTCTTCCAAGTATGGGGGGGGCTTTCAATATTATAAGAGAAATGATAGATAAGTTTGCTGGAAGGAAGCAGAAAATTATGAGAGAAGATAAGTGAATAGAGGGAGAGAAAAAGAAGGTAGATAAGGAAAAAGAAAGAAACAAAGGAAGGGCCCATTGTCTGCTGAGAATTATCAGAAGAAAACATTAAGTGAAAAATTTAACACACTTGGGAGAAAGATTTGTAATCCAATAGACAACAAATTAATTCTTAATGTAGATTAAGAGTTTCTACAAATAGTAAGAAATAAAACAGCAACCAAATAGAATAGTCGACATATCAGTTACTTGGTGTGTTGCTGTGGTACAATATCCAGACAAACACAACTTAAGGAAGGGATGGATCCTTTTCACTCACAGTTGCAGGGCACAGTCCCCCATGGTGGGCAAGTCATGGCCTTAGGGGCATGAAGTTCTGGTCATGCTGGACCCACACAGAGCAAGAAGCAGAGGAAGATGAATGCTGGTGCTTAGTTAACTCTTTCCAGGATCCCAGCCCATGGAATGGTGATGCCCACAGCTAAGGCTGGTCCTCCCACCTCAGTTAACCTAACCTAGATCAACCCTCATAGACATGCATAGAGGTTTACCTCCTAGGAGACTACAGATCATATCCAACTGATGATCAGTATTAACCACCGCAGTGAACAAACGCTTCTCAGAGAAATATAACTCTAAGGAGACACAAACATAACTTTGGTGAGGTGCTTTCCTTTTCTCACAGAAATAGAAGAACTGAAAGTGTAGCACATTTTCTGAATGAAGCATTGAGAAGAGAACAAACGGAACTGCTTTAAGCTCTACAAGGGCACTTAGTACATCACCACCACGAATGCACACGGCCTTCAACCAGCTTCAGTCATGCTTGACAAGTAGGAAAAAAGGGATCATAAGATGCTCCATTCAACATCACATGTAATAAAAAAAATGTAGAAACAATACCACTGATCAGTAATAAATAAGTACACCATATACACAGTTATACTAATGTGCTGTACTCTATATTTAAAAGATGAGAAGGAGGAGGGGATTATGTTTTGGGGTGGAGAGATGGCTCAGTAGTTAAGACCATTTGCTCTTCCAGAGGAATGTAGGAAAATAAAAGTGTTTGCCTCGATACAATTAATAAAAACAGCTGCAATAACATTATATTAAATTTATGCATTTTATACATTAATATACAATATAATATACAATGTGAGGGAGAAATAATATACTCAAATGTAGAATATAATATTAATAAGAAGCAAAACTGGTCTGGAGAGATGGCTCAGAGGTTAAGAACACTGGCTGTTCTTCCAGAAGTCCTGAGTTCAATTCCCAGCAACCACATGATGGCTCATAACCATCTGTAATGAGGTCTGGTGCCCTCTTCTGGCATAGAGGTGTACATGCAAGAGGAACATTGTATGCATAATAAATAAAAACCTTAAAAAAATAGGAAGCAAAACTAAACTCTGTGTGTGTGTGTATACAAAGTATGTATGTATATATACAAGATATGTATATATAGCTCATTTAATATTGTATGCTTTGAAGAATTTATGATCTTCAAAGCATTATTTCTCAAGAACCAAATATTAATTCTAAATAGGTAATTTGCCTCTGTTGTTAAATAAGTGATTTTTGTCTGTGTTGTTAAAACACAGGCAACTGAGCCTCACCCTTATAGGTTCTGATTCAGCAGATCTGAGCAGTGCCCACCATCAGAAAAACTGCAGACACTGTACACATTTTTCTGTGCGATGTGGCAGAGCCTCACACATTTAAGGAAAGCACTATACAGTTGGGTGATATATCTGGCCCTTTACTTAAAACCCTTACAAGGAATAAGTCCTTCCTTGATTCTTCAGCTCTGAGAAGGAATTGGCTGGTTATGTAATGATAATTGTCACTTTAGTTTCCTTAACTGAAGTCAGATGTTGTTTTTCATGCATTGGGTTTAGGAGCCACTGTGACTGTTGCTCCTTCAACATCTCCGGTTTCCTTTAACAGTGTAGTACCAAAGCTCACTTATTCCAAACGTGTCTTTCTTATGTAGTGAGTGCTGCTTTTCTGAAATTCTGGTTGCTTTTATATATTCCAATTTTTAAATATTCTTACCTGTAAACTTCTGTAAATAGTATTAATCACATAATTTATATTGTTATTATGGATGTTTTAGAAAGATTCTGTGCCATGGTCTTTGCCATTTAGTAAAGTTAATCTTGGACATTATTTTTATGAACAAGTCAGGAAAAGTGTTTTTAGTCTAATCAGCATGTTTGCTTCTGATGCAGGAGATGACACATTTTCTCAAGGCAATACTTAGGCAAATTTTAATTGTACAAACAGTCTTTTGATAATAAAGAGAAAAAATGCTTAATTTTTTTATTTCAGGACCCAAAGGAGTAATCAATGATTGGCGAAAGTTTAAATTAGAAAGTGAAGATAGTGACTCAATACCACCCAGTAAGAAAGAGATCCTCAGGCAAATGTCTTCTCCTCAGAGCAGAGATGAAAAAGACTCAAAAGACAGAGTCGGCAGAAAGGTAAGAGAGGCAAAGAAGTGTAATTATAAATAAGTTATGTATTTCCTAGTCTAAGTGACTCAAGAGAATTACCTCAGTATATTGTGAAATGCTTTCAATGCAGTACACAGTGAATACTGTGACAAGGTAGTGTGTACTATGAAATACATGTGGGAATCAGAGAATAAATTATAAATATGGGATCTATTGTAGACGAAGCTTCGCAGTATGAGAAAACAAAATATAGAGCTTTAAATTATATAAGGCGCTACAATTTTAAGGCAGCAAAGACACCATTGTGGGCTTTCACTTGTGAGTGTTTCTAAGCCCCCTAGTCTGCGTGCAGAGAGGTAGAGAGACTCTATCTTGGTAGAGGACGGTTATAGTTAGGAAGAGTGAGATTCCCCGGGAAGAAAAGGAAGGAGAGAAGCAGGAGCATCACTGTTTAAAAACAGCATTGCAGGAGTCGAGTCATGCATGTGTTCACCTGCGTCATAGAGATAGCGTCAAGACGACCTTTAAAACGTCAGTGGAGATTATTTGAATATTAAATTGGTAGAACATCAGTATTTTCACTTCATTTTTAAAGCTTTTGGTCATTTTAAAATCTCCATAAATAGCATGTATTATTTATATAACAAGATTAATGGTGATAATAAGGAATTCATACAGAGATTTTCATCTGTGAGAGGAGTCACTCCAGTACATCACCTAATCAGTTTATACGGATAGTACACTGAGTGAAGAGACCATGAACAGAAACATGCCTTGACCCTTGGCTTCAGGCCATGGTAGGGATCTTCAGTCTGACACTGTGAGAGGCAGAAGGCAGAAATTGGTTCTCTCTCAGGGTCATTATGCAGTGTGGATGAGATACCCACATTTTGAAACTGAGAAACTGTAAGAATGTCCTCATTTGTTTTAAACAGATCATGAAGGGAAAAGAAAAACTCTTTTAAAAAATACTATCAAATCTGAGATGTTATTATTAAAGGTTTTGTTCTGGTTAAACTTCAGAAATGTGACTGTATGCCTAAATATCTATGTCTCAATGTATGAACAGAATAACTTTGAATACGAATGCTCAAACATATCTTTAGATCAATATTCGTGAGGATTGGTTGCCCAAACTAGCAGAACTATAATAGCAACTTAAGAATTATACAAAACATTTAGTAATTTTAGGATTAAAAAATTAAATTGAGTCCATAAAACTGCACAGAGAAAACCATTAGGCTAGAAAAGCAGTCTGGCTGTGGTAGCATATGTGTATAATACCAGCACTTGGGAGGTTGAGGAGGAAGACCTTGATTTCCTACCGTAGCAAAAGAAAGAAAGGAGAGAAAGGAAGGAGGAGGGGATAGGCTGTATGGGAGAAAGAATTAGGGATATTAGGAAAACAAACGCACAAGGCAGAAGAAAGTAATAAACAAAATGGATAGCAGCTTCAGTTGAAGGGTTCCATGATGAAGCTGCTACAGGTAACAACCCCCTTGAGGCCCCCCAGCTTCCAGCTTCCAAGCTTCTGGACCACGCCACATCTTTCAGTGAACTGTATGACAATAGGCTGCGTCACTCTTTTGTGTCTATTTTTGTTTCTTGGTTGAGGGGAAGAGGTGATTAATTGTCTATCGAATATATTAATAATGGAGTTAACATTATGAAAGGGTATTAAGATAATTGGATGTTCTAATCACAAGAAAATGTAGCTGTTTGGGAAGATGTATAGTTCTCTGACTTTTGACTAAGCCCAGTGGTTAAGAATAACCCAGAGGGCTTGTTAAAACACAGACAGCTCAGCCTCACCCTGACAGGTTCTGATTCAGCAGATCTGAGTGGCACCCATAATCAGAAAAAAACAATTGCAGACATTGGACACATTAATTAGAAAACTGATACTAGTTGACCAAACATGTGATACAAGCCCTAACAGTACTTGTTGCTATGAAAATAAAAGCAGAATAAAGAGGAGGGTAGAGTAAGGGCCTTTTGCAAATGATCAACCAAGCAACAAAAGACAATGACCTTTGAGGCGACGCTTAAATGAGAAGATTTTTAAGCAGGAAAGTGGTCTAAGCAGAGAGGACAAGTCAAAACGCCTAGACTTGAGAATAAGTTTGATGCATCCAAGCATGAAGCATTTCCGATTGAACTGCCTCCATTGTTTCTTTCATGCCTCCTCAGATGAGCATCCAAGAATATGAGCTCATTCATCAGGACAAAGAAGACGAAAACTGCCTACGCAAGTACCGCAGACAGTGCATGCAGGACATGCATCAGAAGCTGAGCTTTGGGCCTAGGTATGGGCTTGTGTACGAGCTGGCAACAGGGGAGCAGTTCCTAGAGACCATTGAAAAGGAGCAGAAGGTCACCACAATCGTGGTGACCATTTACGAAGACGGCGTGAAGGGCTGTGATGCACTCAACAGCAGTTTAGCCTGCCTGGCCGCGGAGTACCCAATGGTCAAGTTCTGTAAGATAAAAGCTTCCAATACCGGTGCCGGGGACCGCTTTTCCCCGGATGTGCTCCCCACCCTGCTTGTCTACAAAGGTGGGGAGCTCATCAGCAATTTTATTAGCGTTGCTGAACAGTTTGCTGAAGAATTTTTTGCTGGAGATGTGGAGTCTTTCCTAAATGAATATGGATTACTACCAGAAAGAGAGATGCACCACCTAGAGCAGACCAACATGGAAGATGAAGATGCTGAATAAGCATTCTCTGTGTCAGGCTCTCAGCTGTCCTTTACACAGTGAACACAGGCTTTTGGTAGTATCTATATTCCTTTAGCAAACACTAAATATGACCATGCTATCCAAATTTGGGGGAAAGACACTAAAATTATGCTAATAGAATTTTTTAGTATTAGCTATCCAAGTTGAGATAATATTTTGCTGCAAAAATATTAAAGTTCTTAACAAATGCTTAACAAACAGAGGAGGTGGATGATGTTGATGTTATTTCACTTTTAAAATCCTTTCAAGATACGTGTTAGCTTTTTTACTCCTTACTTTTTCCCTTGGCATTTTTATTTGAGCTTTTGAAACTGAGTACTACTTATGAACTGACTTGTATGATAAGAATAAAATCATATGAAGAAATAAATATTCTGTGTAAAGTCTACTGTGAGTCAAGCATTATATCCTTAAGAACCTAAAAACTTCATAAAGCACAAAATACAAAAATGGTTTCACTTTAGTCTCTAATAACTTCAAATCTGCATGTGAAAAGTATTGCTTTCATTTGTAAAATAATGCAACAAGATAAGATAAGTAGAATTTCAACTTTCACTTCTCTTGAAAACATTTGAAAGTTTGTCCAAAAAAAGCCAGACACTGATGGCACTTGCATTTACTTCCAGAAGAGGAGGCAGAAGCAGGCAAATCTCTGAGTTCAAGGCCAGCCTGGTCTACAGAGTGAGGTCCGGTATAGTCAGGGCTACACAGAGAAACCCTATCTCACCCCTCACCAAGAAAAAAAAGGAAGAAAAGAAAATATTTGAAAGTTTGTTCTCCCACAAAAAGACAAGGAAGTCCAAAGTGAAATACAACATTAAAAGTATAAATACTTAAGATAGCTGAGGAGGAAGGTGAATGGCATCTAAACCAGAGGGGAAAGGCAATGATGAGTGAGGATTGAAGCAACATGGCCAACAATGGAAGAAATGGGGGAGATGTGTGTCCAGAGCAGGTTGAACAGTCCTCCCTGGCAGCCCATACCGAAGCGCACAAATGCTCGAAGCTTTGATCTCCAGTCTTTTAAGTAACTAGCTGAGAGCTTTTCTTTTTCCCCTGAACTTTTCCCACCCACCCCCATCCCTGACTCTAAACATTTCATCTTGTTCATTTCTCACGAGAAAATAGACATTATCCAATAAGAACTGCCTCATCTTTTTACCCCCAGAACTGAGAAGGCAACTACAAATAAACCGTGTCAACTGATGGCATGGAAGAAGAGTCCACATGTCGTGTGGGAGGTCCTTCTGTCTGTGTGTTGCTTTTATTGGTTAATGAATGAAGAACTGGCTTGGCCGATAGCATGGGAGGAGGGGTGGGGGGTGGCTGCCAGAGATAGACGTGCTGAAACTTTGCTGATAGGCCATGACCTCGTGGTGATATACAGATTAATAGAAATGGGTTAAATTAATACGTAAGGCTTAGCTAATAAGAAGCTAGAGCTAATGGGCCAAGCAGGGATTTAATTAATACAGTTTCGGTGTGGTTATTTCGGTTCTGGGCAGCTGGGACTAACAAGTGGTTCCTCCAACACACATGGGTGTCTCTAGTCAGCCGACACACGACTGTGAAATACCCTCACTCATTCCTCCAGCCGCAAAGAGTCCATTTGGGTGTCTTCAGTCAGTGGGGGCGGTTGTCCAGTATCCCCGCTCAGCTCATTATCACAGTCATCAAGAGTCCACATGGGCGTCTCAGTCAGCCGACGTGGCTGCACAGTACCCACATGGGCGTCTCAGTCAGCCGACGTGGCTGCACAGTACCCACATGGGCGTCTCAGTCAGCCGATGTGACTGCACAGTACCCCCGCTCATTCCCAGTCACCGAAGTTCTCTTCTGGGATTACTCCCCTCCCCTCTGCATTGCCTGCTGCTTTTCTCTAATTTTGACTTTGATATGTTTTTAAACTACCCCTATTCAAAGTGTGTCCACCTACAGCTTAAAGTTTCAATCTACCACTTCTATCTCTGGTGTTCTTTAAAATCAGGACTCCCAAAAGATATATCTAAAAAGTCAGACACAGTGCCCCCCCCCCCAGCCCTCAGGAGGCTGAGGCAGGGGCCTGGTAGTTCAAGGACAGTCTGGCTACAAAGCAAAAACAAAAGCAAAACAAAAAATATGAAAAAAAAAAACAGGGTCTTCATGTGAGGTATTTAAAAACCTAAAAACACAGCAGAACAGCTATAGACTGGCATTAGTTCCACGGACTGGAAGAAAGTCTTAAAACGTGGTGGCGAGATGGTGAGGAAGAACAGTCAAATAGCTCAAAAGACAGTAGTTTAAGAACAAGATGTAAACTCTGTTCAGTTAGTAGCCACTCGTAGCGGCAGAAGAAGCAAGTTTGCAGGCCAGAGGCACGAAAGAAAGGCTAACCAGTGAAAGAAAACACCTGCTTACAGAGAAAATAAAACAGTAAAATGATGACTTTTCCTATCCAGAGAAAGCTCTGTTCCTGTTAGAAGCAAACCACCGTGCTCTAATTTAAAATAAACAGATAGCAAGCTTAAGCAGGACTAAGCCCAGGGAATGCCTTTAACCCGTCATTGTCAAAACAGAAGTAACTAGGTGGCACCGACAGAGAGAGTGAGTGATGACAGCAACCATTCTCAAAATAAGACCAGGTGACTAATGGGTGCCAGGTGAAGCTTTGATCACATAATCCTCATGGGGGAGTCACACAAAAGGCAGGATTTGACTAGCACGCTCGAAGTCTGCTGTTGCAGAAACGCTGCGTTACCAATGCCTTCATGTGCACACTTCATCTGCTGTTCAGTTCCGTAGGAGAAGAGATCGTGTAAAACTAGATTCATTTCCACACGGTATTTTGATCATATTTGCCCCCACCTCCTCCTCAAGCCCTCCCAGATCCACCCCAGAGATCATTTTTGGCTCAGTAAAGAAAGAGTTTTAAGTTACAAGGTTTAAAATGTTCTACCATGTCACTTAACTACTCAAATTATAACTACTCAAATAAACTGGAGGGAGAACTTGCTTTTTCCTCTAAGGATATACAAATTTATGAGGGATAGCAAATTTTAATTACAAATTGAAAATCTTATTTATTCATTTGTTCATAAAACGTTACTGATACTCTGCAATGTCCATTCTGGATCCTTGAAAGAAAGAAATGTAAGGTAAAGAAAACAAACATTTACACAAGAAACAAACTATAATTGTTTAGAGCGTTGTATCTCCATGTCTCTGCTGTGATGGTGGTGACTCCACTGGGCAACATAGCAAACTTCTTGGTTTGAACCATCATGCTCATTTTGTGAGTTTGAACACACTAATTAATCTCTCTTAAGATATGTGAAACACAGATCATGACAGTAGTTGTTCACAGAGTTACTCTGATATAAGAATGAGTAGATCATGTAAATTAATTTGGAGTGCCTTGCGGCACGCTTCCTGACCAGCAGGAATGAACACCACGAAAACGAGAATTCCTTCCCTGATCACGTCTTTATTCGGAGCACTCGATTGAGGAAAATTGGGGGAAGGGAAGAGAGAGTGCAGGGACGAGAGAAAGCTTAGAGAGAGCTTAGAGAGAGAAAGATGAGAGAGCGCAGGGACAAGAGAAAGATTAGCCAGAGAGGAAGCAGAGCCCAAAGGCAGCAGCTTTTCTAGGGTGAAAGGCTCGAATGCTGATTGGTTGATGCCATTCTGCTAGGGTCCAAGGCCACAGGACAGGTCAGGAAACCAAGTCTCTGAAATGCAAACAAGGCTCCAAGCACACTGGCTTGAGTGGCAACATCAAAGGATTTGTATACCTCCAGGCTGTAGGCACTATCTCGCCAAGGCGACATCCTGGCAGCTCCCTACAGTGCCTAATGTACAAATATTACTAAAATGTTACTTATCATTATTAATAAATAACCAGTAAAATGATTCATATACTACACAGATTTAAAAGCATAAAATTGTACACACACACGCACACACACATATAAGCTAATTCATGAAGGTATTAGATGCAGTGAATCCATATCAAATACACCACTCACATTCTTGGGCAAACAAACCTACTAAACAGCTTACATACAATACTTAAATCAAAAGAGAAAAGTCCTTTAGATTTCCAGGGTAGTGAAAGGCGAGTAAGTGACTCCAACAAAATGGCCCAACCACTGTGCACATTGGATTCTACAGCTCATCTTCCACGCTTTGGGGCACACTGGCTGCTGACGACCATTCTCAAATTGAAATTCTTTCTCTACCAAGTGCTCATGAACTATACTTTCTCAGTCTTATCTTGTGGCCTTTCTTCCTGGATAGTTCCCCCATTGTCTCTTTGGATTCTATTATTCATCCTGATGTCTGCTCCTATGTCACGATTTCTGAAATTCACTCATATTGGCATTTCTGTGGAGATTTGTCATGTGCACTAAAAGACAGCAGCGCCCTTGACCTTGCCCAGTGAGCTGCTAGTGCTAATGCATTCCTCTAATTGCAACAAAAAAAAATTTTTTTCCTTGTTTTTTGAGGCAGGGTTTCTCTGTAGCTTTGGAGCCTGTTCTCCTGTCCTGGAACTAGCTCTTGTAGACCAAGCTGGCCTCGAACTCACAGAAATCTGCCTGCCTCTGCCTCCCAAGTGCTGGGATTAAAGGCATGGGCCACCACCACCCAGCAAGAAAAACTTTCTTTAGACATGGTCAAGTGTTCTCTAGAGGGAGGCAATAATCATGCCCATTTGAAAATCACTTCCCATGATATAGAAAAGATATTTCCTGCCTCCAGCTTTCTTATGTTGGTGGAAATTTAATTTACTATAATTTGTCACCAGAACCCCTGCAATCATTTCCTAACTGGACTTCATAACTACCCATCTTCAAGTTGATATCAGACGACCGAACAAAAGACTAGACAGCTGAGCAAATTCCAAGGTTAATGGGGTGTGCTGTTGAAACTCTTCTTGGGATACCTACGAGATAAAGAAAAACAATTGGGTTTGTGAGGTGCTTTAAATTATATTCTGAAACATGTTGGGATACAAGTATTTTCTTGATGACCCATAGCTTCCGGAAGTGAGGTATCTATGTCTACACAGTGTGCCTTCCATCACTGAAACAAGTACTTCTTTTAGAAAGTGGAAACTCGGCAGCAACATTTCTCTAGGCGATTTTTAAGAGTGTTATTTTTAACTTGAAAAGAAAATTAGAGGCACATTTGGGGCTAGAGGAAGAAGCAAATTAACTCAGTGAGTTTTTGCTTTCTTGCCATGGAAGCCTTGTGGTGTTCAGAACCCACACTGAAAAACCTACACTGCGGTACACATATATAATCCTAGCACTGCGGTGAGAAGAGAGGCAGAGAAGAGAATTAGTGGAAAGGTAGGGGTGGTCTCTTGTGGTCCAGATAGCTTGAAGTGGGCAACACAAATGCAGAACTAGCAGGAGAAACCCTACCTCAACAAGATGGAAGGAGAGAACCAACTACTGAATGGTGTGGGAAGTCCTTCTGTATATGTGCTGCTTTTACTGACTAATGAATAAAGAAGCTGCTTTCGGCCAATGGCTTAACAGAATATTGCCAGGCTGGAAGAGATCTATATAGAGAGAGTAGGTGGAGTCAATGAGAAGCCATGTAGCCCAGCCACAGACAGACACTGGGCACAGAACTTGGAACTTTACCCAGTAAGCCACAGCCACATGGCCATACACAGATTAATGGAGATGAGATAGATTAGGATGTAAGAGCTAGCCAATAAGAAGCTAGAGCTAATAGACCAAACAGTGATTTAATTAATACAGCTTCTGTGTGGTGATTTCCGGTCTGAGTATCCAGGAACAAACAAGTAGCCTCTTTCTGACCTCTGACTTCCTCATGCATTCTTATGCCAAGATATTTATACATGTGCATGTATGTGTGCGTGCATGCACACACACACACACACACGCTAAGTATATTTCTATTTTTAAGTAAATAGAAATGAATAAAAAAATTTAAATACAATAATATTTGCATAAAGACATGCAGGTTTTATGACAAATGGTATGGTGTTTGTGCCTATAAGCCCAGAACTTGAGTAGCTGAGGTAGGAGGTACTCAAATAATAACTGTAATAGTGTTGGGTAAGAAGAGGTGGGAAGATCATGACTAGTCTAAACTAAATAGTGTTTTAAACAACGAATCAAATGCAAAATCTGTTATTTTTATAGCATTGAACTTGAAAAACTGGTATCAAATTTTAAATACATATAAAACGTTTCCATAGACATACAAATGCAATAATCATTTTAGTTTTCAAGTTACCTGCTATTTCAACAGCTCTTGTGTCTTTAAAGAAGAAAAAAATCTGAATTTAAGAATAGACACATTTGTCACAAGCAATTATTTGCCCTGTTATGAAACTAAAACATTTTGTGAAAAGTAAAATATTAAATTCCTGAAACATAATCATTAACTATTATATAAATTCACGATTCCTATGGAAGTCACAATACCATCTGTGCTGTGAAACAGTGATCACTTTGGAAGCCCAGAGAGCATAGCCAACTTTGTAGTATGTCACCATGGAAAGATGCTCCTGAGCACATTATGTTGTAACTCCCCATAAGCACATCAAAACTCATCCTGCACTAGTGACCTTTTTGTTGCTGTAATAAAACACAGAGACCAAGGCAACTTACAGAAGAAAGAGCTTAGTTGAGCTTTCAGTTCCAGTGGGAGAGAGCCCATGATGGCAGAGCATAGGAGTGGCATCTGGGGCTAGAAGCTGATCCGAAAGCCTGAAGTAGAGAGATTAAATTGGGAGTGGAAGAGACTTTGAAACTCAGGTCTATCCCCAGTGACAATCTTCAAAGTTCCATAGAGGCCACACCTCCTAAACCTACCTAAACAGCGCCACCTTTTGGAGAGCAAGTGTTCAAATATCCATAACTATGGAGCACATCCTCAGACAAATCACCATGTACCCTAAGTTGAAAATGCACTGAGTACATCTAATGTGATAAATCCCACAGCTTAGAAACACAATATCACGTTGAATGTTTTGGCTTAGCCCTGAGATTAAATGGCTGGATGTAATTCAGCTGACATTTGAAGACAATATGCTGCTGCAGCATGCTAGCCAAAGCTGAAAAAATTCAAAACTAAAAATTCAAAGCCAGGCTTCTAGTGAATTTATATCACCTCTGCACCACTACAAGTCAACATACAAAACAAAACAAATGTCAAGGAAGTAGGAAGACTACACAACTTCACATGCATCATGGTATTTAATGACTTGCAAGAGCATATGAAGTAGAATGCTGTTTATAATATATTCTGTTCAGCAAAGAGGACATGGAAGCGTTAGATTTCACTATCTTTCTTACATTCATATAGCTAACAAGTTATAAAGTCTAATCTTAGCCTTGAGTCTATCAGTCTTTGCTCCCATACTTTTTCCCATTAGACAATATTATTTACCTGACAGTTACCAACACAATTACAAACCAAATTCATGTTTCTATAAGATATGTCTTAATATATAGTTCAGTTCTGAAGAAAAATAGAAGGAAGAGGAGGAGTCTGGTTAGGAGAAAACAAAGTTACCTGGAATCAGGGAATGCTTCAGTCCAAAACTCTAGTAACTACTGTAGTGGGTACAGTCCTGAAAAAGAAAACAGTGAAGAAAATGGTGACCTAGGCTTTCAGTTACGTGTTTTCATTATTTTAGCTAGAGCGTTAAGTAAACAACTTTTATGAATCCTTGAGACTCGTGGCTGTACAAACTACAAAATCCTGTTTGTCTTTCAGGCTTTGTTTGGTTTTTTTGTTTGTTAGTCTGCTCTGCCATACTATGTAAGAAATTGCTCCAAAAGTGAGTTTTTCAAAAAATCAGGTATGTTTAATCAGGCTGTATTATTTTTCACAGTACCCATTCTTTAGTCTCAATTCTTGAATACATAGGAGCTTAAGTTTAAGCAAGTTATTTGAAAAATAATAATTAATTAAAAGGCTATTTATTCACCATTGATAACACAACAGGGTTCCTGCCGTAACAAACTTGATTCATGTTTAATTGTTAATGATAATCTCAAGTGAAATTAAATACACTGAGTAACTTGAATAGCAAAGACTTACAAAAAAGAAACTGTGAGAGTCCTCATAGAAATTATGATATCAAACAACAATTACAGGTTTTGGAGAGATGTTCACCAATTAAGAACCCTTGTTGCTATTGCAAAGGCCTTGGGTTTAGTTTCCAGTACCCACTTAGTGACTCACAACCATCCTTAATTCTAATTTCATTAATGATACCCTTTTCAGGTCTCTGCAGGCACACACAGAGTGCACACACATGCATGCTGTCAAACAAACACATAAAATAAAAATTTTAAAACTTTTTTAAAAATTGTAATTGTGCATGTTGGACTGCAGAGATAGTTATCCATGAAAGACTCAGCTTTCTACAGGACATGATTTCAGTTCCTTGGATACACATGGCAAATACTTCTGCTCTAGCTTCCCTTAAAGGGGCTGGAAAGGCACAGGGCAGCAGTTAAGTGAGTAGGCTGCTCTTGCATAGGATCTGAGTTCAATTCCCAGCACCCATACCTACAGCTTCAAGGCATCCATACCCACTGGCACCTGGTCTTCTTGGATGCCTGCACTTGCATACAAATATACATATTGCAAATATCAAGTTTATTAATACATTCTTCTTCAATTTCTTTCTTTCTTCAAGTATTTCAAGAGAAAGGAGCTTTGTAAAGTTTTAAGTTGTGGTTGTTGTTGTTGTTGTTAGGGGTGGTGCTGGTACAAAATCAGGGAAACTTTTAAACTCTCTTTGGCTCTTCCTGAAGGAAGAGCAGTGTGCATTGTCATCTATTTGAAACTAGAGTTATTTACTGTTAGGATCACTTCCACAGTGAAAGTCTTAAGCAGGAATAATTCTAAACATAGTAACAGTGACAAAACATAAATGATTTAAATTTACTACATTAAAGGCCCATAATGTCTAATGTCTAATTGGGCTTCACAAAAGTTTCAGGTGCTTTTATTCAAAAAGAAATTAACTTAATGCTTAAAATAGAACATAAAATAATGCAAAGTTTATATAAAGCAAATAACAGTTTTTAAAAGCAATTATTACTATGCTAAAATAAACAACCTTAAAGAGGAAAAGTATTATTAAATATAGAAAAGACCATTATAATGATTGTTACTAGAAATAATGATAAAATGGCACATGAAACCTAGGACTACAACAATTTTATACATGCATTAACTCAATGAAATGTTATAAAATTTACACAGTAAACATTAACTGAGCTTTAATTATTGACTGATGATGCACTGAAGCCAGCTGGCTCTGTATTCTGCACCATGCCTTCCCTCAAACTACACATCATAATAAGTTCTTCCTTTCTTAAACTGCTTGTTGCTAGGCATTTTTATCACAGTAATGGAGAAAGTAGCTGACATAAATTTAGTGCTGTTAAGTGGAGCTACTGTTGTGATAAATCCAACTACAAGTCATTTGGGTCTTTGCAACGGTTAACAAGCGCAATGTGAAAGAGTTTGGAACTTTGGGTTAGAAAAGTCCTTGAATGCTTTAAAAGGCATTCCATTTTGCTTGCTGTGATAAATATCATGATGAAAAGCAACTTGGAAGAAAGGGGTTTATTTGACTTACACTTCCAGATCAAAATCCATCACTCAGAGATGTCATGTCAGATGACATGTCAGATGTCAGAACTCTAACACAAACTGAAGAAGAAACCAAAGGGATATTTTACTGACTTGCTCCCTCTAACTCTCATGCATTCAACTTTCTTCTGCAACTCATACCCATTTGCCTGGGTCATGTGGGATGCTCTTCTGTATGCTGTGAAAGTGTCTTATTACCGTTGGTTAGTAAAGAAGCAGATTTGGTCAATAGCCAAGCAGAATATAGCTAGGCAGGAAATTCAAGCAGCAACAGGGGAAAGAAGAGTCAGAGAAACACCAGCACCTGCCAGAGAAGCAAGACATAAGATAACACCATGGCCATGGGGCAATACATAGATTAATAGAAATGGGTTAATTTAAGGTGTAAGAGCTAGTTAGTAATAAACCTGAGTCATCAGCCAAACAGTTTGTAATTAATATTAAGCCTCTGGGTGGATATTTGGGAACTGGTGGGCAGGAGAGAAACTTCCAGTTACACCTAGGCATGGTGTCACAGTGGAATGGGCCCTCCCACATCAATCAACAATCAGGACAATTCAGGCTAATCTGATGGAGGCAATTTTTTACTTAATGCTTCCTTTTCCCAGGTGATTCTAGGCTTTATCAACTAGACAATAGAAACTATCCAGTGCACAAAGCTTAATGAGCTATTGTCGTAGAACTTTTGGAATTCCAGAGACTGAAATAAATGTGGTCTTGGGAGTCTGGCTTCTGAGCTTTCAGAGAGGAACAAGACTCTCTTAGGAACCAGGGTAGAGGTCATCTGGGTTACATTCTGCAAAGAATCTTAGCTGCATTCTGCCTGTGTCCTGAGAACTGAAACAAGGCTGAACGTGATTGAGTAATGTGTTTAGTGGATGAAATTCCAAGGCAGGAAAGCGTCCAGGATATGACATGGTTATTGATTACCACTCTTATCCAGGTGAAAAAGATCACTGAGTGTTGCAGAGTGGGGAAAAGAATGCAGTTTGTCTAAGAAGAGGCCACAGGCAAATTTAAAGTTATGACTAAAAAGAAGCTGCAGTTTTTAAAGAGAAGCCTCCTGTTCTACAGGGACACAGGAAAAGTGCTGGAGAGCAGGACCCCATCCATCAAAGGCTCCACTTTGTCAAATGCAAACTCATTTGAAAGAAGAGAGACTAACCTCAAAACACCAAAGGGGTTCCTTACTCTTAGGAAAATATTTTCTAAGCAAGTGTTTCCCCAGGGTCATCACACAAGAGCAGCTACAGCTATGATCCAAGTGGGCAGTCATCTACTTTGAGCTGGTAGCAGAATTTCATGGTGTTGTCCACATGGTACTGGTTTTGTAAGCATGAAAAATGTTGCATGTACTTTGGCTCTGGTTCCAGGAAGTCTATGAAGTCAAGCAACACATGAAAGGTTTAGAGATAGCATAAGAGACTCTTAGAGTGAAGGTAAAGCATCAGTTGGAAAGAAGGGCCCAGGATGTTTGAGAGGTCAGACCAATGAACATCCACCAAAGAAAGCTGCATATATGGAATGGAGAACCAGATCAAGAAAGATTGATGCTGGAGGTGAGGGGAGCAAGGGCTACCTGGGTCCTTTGGAGCTAAGATGCTTTTATCAGTATTCCAAAATGCCAGGCATAGAGCTAGAAGATTTACTGTTTGCTCTGGATTTCTGTCTTGCTTTGGCTCAATCTTTTTGTTCTACTCCCATTCTCCCATTTAGAACAAAAATGCTTGCTCTGGGCATTTTATGTTGGACATAAGTAGTTTTCCTTCAATTTTATAGGAGCTCACAGTTAAGAGATTGGTTTGGTCATTGGAAGAGAATTCAGGCATTTAAATAGTTCAGGGAATGTCATTCATTAAAGAAACTTGGGAAGTTGGGAAGAATGCATTTTACATCATGAAATGGCCATGAACTAATGGGAGATCTGGGTGAAATGTTAGATTGAATGTGAAATGTCTCTCACACGCTCATGTTTGGACCATTTGCCCAGGCTAATGGTACCATGGGAGAAAGCCAGAGAACTCTTAGGATGTGGATCTGTAGCTGGGCTTGTGACTTTATAGCTTGACCTGTGTCCTGGTCATTCTGCTTTGTGACTGAAGATACAAGGAGTCAGCAGGCCTCCTACTTCTGCTGTGTCTTTCCTGCCATGATAGACTATACCTCCTCAAACTGTAAATAAGAATAAATCCTTCCTTCCAGAAATCATGTTTTGTCAGTTCGTTTGTCACAGCAATGAAGAAAGTAAGTAGGATAGTATATAAGACAAGAATATAATAAATATGCAAAATACTCCTTGTTTCTTATAAGAAATAATTGATACAAGAGAAAACAATAATTCATCATCAGAGATTTTAGTACATTTTTTCAATATTTACTAGATAAAATACCAAAAATCAGGCTCAGAACACAACCTACTTATGCACATCATGTGTCCCACATAAATGATAATTGTATAACAAGGTTCATCTAAGATTGTTGTCTATATATAACCCTGTAACAAACAGTTCATGAAGTAAGCAGTTTATTCCCACAATATACAAGGAAAATTCTCAAAGATAAATTAGGAAACTGTAGGAACAAATTTGAGAACTTTAATACAATAAGTACTAGCAATTTTACTTTTATTAATATCCAATTCACAGACTCCCTTAAATAATGGCTTTTATAGAAATACCAAACTCTTAAAACTAAAATATAATGAGATTCTTTGTAACAAAACATCAGACATGGAAAACTGTACTAATAGAAACATAAATTAAAAGGCATAGGGAAATAGATCAGTAGTAGAGCCCATCAACAAAATAAACAAATTATAAAATCAAAGGACAATAAATTATATGAGTATCTAACCCAGAAGTTAAGAAATATGATAAAGCTTAAGGTAGAATAATGAGAAAGCAAGTAAGACTGGAAATCAATGGAATATAAATTCTCTTTATAAAGTTTCCATTTACAATAGATGGTTATCAACATAGAGACCCACACTGGCCAAGATGAAGAGAATAAATACTGCAGAATGCTCAACCCTAAGTAGAATATATATACTGCATCACCTCCACTAAAGACTCAGGGATGCTTGCAAAAGAGGGAGCAGGAAGAGTGTAACATAAAACAGTGTCTG